TATATATATATTAATTCATTTATTTTATTCCAATCTTAGGATTCTGATCATTTTTATCATAGATGACATTGTTGTTGTTATTAGTACTCGTTCATCCTTAACCCATCTTGGTCATGTGTGATGTAATTAATCACACTCACACAGCCTTGAGTGTAGTATGCGTCACACTCTTTTACACGCCAGTTACCCTACCATCTACCCCCCTTCTATCCTGTTTGTTTTGGCTTTGTCATGCTTTCTTTGTATGTTCATGTCTTGTGATGTTGTTGATCTGTTTTTGTAAATAAAGCCGTTTTAAGCTGTAGTGCTCGCTGTCTGGATCCAGCTTCTTTTCACCCACCCAGACCATCTACATCCTAACCACCCGTCCTTCGCGCTCTCTATTACCAGAATCTCACTGTAGAACAATAGTTTTCAGTTTGACAGTTTCACTTTGACTGGATTTGTCAAACCCAGTTTAAAAGAAGAAGAACAAAACCCAGACAGAGAAGCGGAGGGTTATGTGCCCAGATACAATTTAAAATTCACCTGTTTGCACTCTTGTTGGAGAGCGCTGAATCGTAATAAAGGGAACTATTAAGGTTCTGTCCCACATTAACTGTTACAACTGGATTGTCATTAAACAGGACATAGTTTAAAGTAATGAGGTTGGCATATACACTACGTAATCCCTGTGAGTCAAATGCTTTGGCTTAATGCTAAACATTCATGGCAGTTTTTTTATTCCTAACCTGAATCTGAAGAGAGGTGGTAACTTTAATAAGGTCATCTCAGAAAGAAGCCCAACTTACCTGCTGTTCAGCTTTATTATTTACAAGGGGTAGCCAATCAGGAAAATACTGCCTAAAAGGAGGGCGACCTTACAGGGAGAGGAGCTACAATCAGGGGCTGCAACAAGGCCCAGTATGAGATAAACAGAGATTTTTTTGATTGCTTTTTTGTTTTAATTAACTCTGGCAAAAACGTCCCCATTAAACTCTTTCGTATCATATCTTTTCACATTAGATCATTTAATTCAACCCAAGAAGTCTCTTCACGTCTCGTAGCTCTTCCAAAATTTTAATGCTAATTACACGCAAATAAAAGACTGTTGAAGCACCCACCTGGCTCTCAGCATCCAGTGTTTGCTCTGTGTATTCTGTTGCTCCATTTGGATCCACTGGACCCTCTACAGAAGGTCTGGATCCCAACTCAGCACGAGAACCTATGATAGTAAAAAGAACAAGTCTCAAAAACTACTTAAAGGCTTGTGTGTGTATTTGTGTGTGTGTGTGTGTGTGTGTGTGTGTGTGTGTGTGTGTGTG